ACACACCGGGTTTTCCACCGTGATGTTATGTAATGTTTTTGTAAAAATACTAATGTCCGATGAGAATCCATTGAAGTTAAATGAGTTGTAATTTTCGAACTTTGTAAAAATTCCTGATCAAATATTTGAAATTTTCCGATCGATAAGTGTTATAACAATCACAGTTATAGCTTCCAAAGTTTATAGCACACTGACTATAGCAAACTATTAATAGGTACTCTCTTTTTGCCGCGTCGCGTTGGTTATATTCATAGGTGTGTGGAGGCTTCTAGAAAATTCAGATTTACGTAACAATATTGGCGCTAACACAAGCGTTTGCGTACACATATATTGTTGATTCTTACTCTCGAGAATCTTCTACAACTTTGGAGAATAGGCGGGAGTTTTGCAATACATATTTAACACGATAAGCTATGTATGTTTATAAATATAAATGTAATGTAAACAAACGTTGATATTAAAATAAATATATAATAACAAATTCGTTACAACAGATAGATATATCTACCTGTATTATTTAGGTTTGTCTTCAAGCCTTCGCATTGGTTTTACTTTTGGATAAGCTTTGCTTGAAGAGACTTGGAAGTAGCATATATATATCTAAATATATATTAGTATTGTATAAAAGTTAACGTCGTGTATATATGTCTGTATGTATATATAAAAATCCATTAATTTATTTCTTTATAGCTGAAGATTTCCTGTACTCACTCGTAATTAATTGTGTTCATATTTCTTTTTCAGATCCACCAATGGCTATAGAGCTTTCTGTTGCCCGGGTAACATATACGACTATTGACGTAATGTGGCGGCGGGATCCAATTGAATCCAATATCATTGGTGGTGCTGTCAATTTGTCTTATTGGAATATATCTTTAAAGCAACAAGTTTCTTTCGTTAGCTAATATCGCTGATTATCCTAATTATTTAAAGTATATAAATATTAAAAATTTCAAATACCTGATTTAAAATATGTAACTGCATGCTTTTATGAAAAAGAGTTCAGTAAAATCTTTTAGGGTTAAGTATTTTAACGTGCACAACCAGCCTTGAATTCACCTCCAAATCACAATTACACCGATTAAAATACAACAACTATTAGAGCAAAATGCGATTTTTATAAAGCTTTCAGTACACGGTATAAGTATGTTAGTTTGTCCTTACTTTGTCGATAACTTGTATCAAAATGATTTTCTTTGATTGGTGCGTGAAAGGTATATTTTCATGTAAATTTTCATATGGGTTACACTCTTATAACTTCTAATAGTATATGTTCTCTGAATTTTTGGTATGGTCTCAAAAATCGCGCGGTAACTATAGAAGATGGACGCCCCCGCATTATGGATTGCATAAAATGTAATTGCCCCCCCCCCTACATTTACCTCCTTATAACTGTAGTTATGTTTGTTTGAAGTTATGCACAAAGCTACACAATGGGCTATCTGTGCTCTGCCCACCACGGGTATCGAAACCTGGTTTCTAGCGTTGTAAGTCCGCAGACATACCGCTGTGCCACTGGGGGGGGCTGTAGTTATGATTTTGGCTAATTAATATCATTAACTTAACATAATAGTACAACTGCCCTTTAGTTCAAACAATTTATAACTGTACGTCTCTTTTCCTCCTATCGGCAATTTTTAAGTCTGTCAGGTCCTTAGGCTCCCTTTTGGTTCAACCCCCCTCGCAATTGTGGGGGCATGCTTACGTCATTGGTCTCAAAACAACTTTAACCTGTTACAACGACATGTCTGTGAACAAGGTGACGTTATTCATGTATGTAACTAGACATGTTGTAATAAAGAATGTTCTCGAAAATTAGTCTCTGCGCAATTAAAATTCATTGTTTGTTCAGGAAGGTACCTTTACCAATTACAGAGTAAGAATAGTTAAGTCAGTTGGTGTAAAACAAAACATCGATACGCCTGTTTACGTTTTCTAGTCGTGTCCAGCATGAGGCCTAACAGTCACTTTTTCTGTAATATACTGATATTATATGTTTGAAAAATATTACATAATATAATACAGGTTTACGTAGCAGGTTAAGCACATAGCTGCGTTAATTTTTAAGTGGAAGCTTGGATTCGTTTCAATTTATCACATCATTAAATTTTATTTTTAGGATATCAGTTTTATATCAAAGCTGAAAATGGAAATTGGCAAGAAAATACCGTTCATGGAGATCTTCAAGATTATACTTTTGTAAATCTTCAATGTGGAACTCGGTACGAAATCTACGCTGTACCTTACAACGATGCCGGTAGAGGGCAGGCTAGTCAAATTGTTACTGCAAGGACAAACGGTAGAGGTAACGATATTCCCTTTTTTTTTTTAATTTTTACAGTATCTTAAAAAACGACATTTAAGAAATAAATTACAATTTAGTGATTTTATTCAATATTTTGTACTTTTAAGGTAATAGTATTTTATAACATTATGAAAAAAAACAACACGAAAAATAAGCCAGAAAACAACTGTCCGAAAAAAAGTTGTTTAACAGCACCTAATCATCTGACCCTTTACTATGATTAATTGACGGACTTTCAAAGTTAATATACAGGATTCGATTCCCTGCGGCAGACACAGCAGATAGCCCGATGTGACTTTGCTCTACAAATAGACAAATCATTATTAATAACATGATGTTCGAGTATTACTCTGCTGTTTTAACTGCAAGGAAAACATAGAAACTGAAACAAAATGGGGGGAGCAAAGCTGGAAGTGTATCGAGCTCGTCAACTCTGTACTTGCTGAAGATAAGCAGAAACTAGGAGGTTCAAAATTCTTTAAATTAAAGTAACAACTTGGTTCTATTTTGATAAAATGAGAACCAAGATATGATTGGGTAGAAGGAAAAATACAAACGAAAATAATCATTTTAATAACAGACATATAGGGGCTTCTATTTTTTACCTTAATTAATATTAACTTTGATCAAAACAAGCTACCTGCATAGATCATAAGTAAAAATCACTCCAGTAATGAGTAAAGTTAATTAAATATACTATTCCGAAGTTCTTGCTTGTAAAGGTTAGAATGCATTGTTGCATCAGTTAAGTACCCTCGGTGTTAACAACGTTTTCGGCCGTAATCCTCTTAATTTAACTTTTTGACTTTCTATCTTTAGCTATCAATATAGTTTATAGTGAGCCATTATTTGAGACTAGTTCGAGAAATCTCAAACCCTTTTCTAAATTTATGGGAATTGAAGTGGTTGCTAAGCTCTCTGTATTAGAGGTGGGGACAGTGGTCGTCCCTGTTCCAATATCTATGAGAATGACAATAGTTGTTGTTGTTTTTCTAACTCCAGCCCTAAAAAAGTGTTTGTTTGTTTGTTGTTTTTTTTTTTTTGCGTAATGATGCTGATTATTTTGTCTCTTCAATCTTGATGTCTTTTAATATTTTGTATTATTTTCCATTTTTTTCTAGCTTATAATTATATACATATTAATGTTTTTCATGAAATTCCCTGGAAATTAGCATTATAAATCTTTCTATGCGATCGATCTTATCTCAGACCCTCAATATCCTCTGTGTAACTTGTCTTATGCTATCATCTTTTCATCACCTGCAACCCCAACTTTTCTAATACGATCCTCTATTTTTAGACCCTATAGCCCCACAAAAGCAACGTTTTCTAAAAATAAACATGACATCAGTGACAATGGATCTTCATGCCTGGGACAGTGTAGGCTGTGCGATTGTTTCCATTGACATAAGATACAAAGGACTTCACGAAAAGAACTGGCTCGAACATATGGGTCACGTGAATCCTGACCTACAGAAAGTAACCATCCCTGGATTGTTGCCCAGTTCTTCTTACCAGTTGTTGATTACTGCCCGCAACCCTGCAGGCTCTACTCAGGCGGAGTACACTTTTCGTACTTTAGTTAGAACAGGTGGTAAGATATCAAACATTACTATACTATTAATTATATTAATTAATTATTCTATTATTACTGCAATATTGTCATTATGTAAAGTATTGTTCCCAATAAGTCTCATCAATAGTAACAATTGCATTCGGTATAAATCAGGCATTATTATAACACTGTACTTATGAAACTATTATTCTAAATAATTCTCAACAATAGTACTATATAATAAGTTACTATCGGTACAAATAAAGCATTGTTGTAATATTTTCATTACGGATGGTATTGTTACCAATAATTCTTAAGAATAGTACTGTATAATAAGTTATTCCTGGCACACCAGAATCCAAACTATTCGTATTACCTGGATAAGCCCTATAAAAACATATTTATCAAGAGGCAATGTAGTTTAAGGAGAAATGTTGGTATTTCGTATAGGAACCTTAAAATTAGAATGCTTTAAAAATTATTATTATTTATTTATAATGATTTATGTTCAATCCATATTAATGTGAAACGGAGACGTTTATAATATATTTAATATATGACATACGTTTATAATATATTTAATATATGACATACGTTCATAATATATTTAATATATGACATACGTTTATAATATATTTGATATATGACATACGTTCATAATATATTTAATATATGACATACGTTCATAATATATTTAATATATGACATACGTTCATAATATATTTAATATATGGCATACGTTTATAATATATTTAATATACGATATACGTTTGAGTTAGTTTTATTAGCCGCGACATAACTGCTCATAGAATGGCCCTGAGTTTGTTGGGTTTTTTTTTTCAAGTATAAATTTTTAGCTCATACATCCACCCATCCATTGGCCGATTTGAGATCTAATTACGGCCGCAGCTATTGAGAAGTCCCTCTTGTAAATATCAACAACAAAGTACAAGAAGTAATCTTTCAATAATTGAGCATTTTGTGTTCCATGACAGCATGACGTTTCCCGTTTTAACCTTTCATATAAACGCATTTTTTTCTTCTTGTATACAGCTTAAGTTATTTATGTTTTCACATATGTACACAACAACCATTGCAAGATTAACAACCCCTTCCCAACTAACCTCCCCTCTTCTACTCTATCAAGAGATATGCAGAATTCAAATAATAATTGTTGGAATTTAATGATCATATTTACCTTTTAAGGGTTCCTACACTCTTCCAGTTCCCAGCTAGTTAAACTGGCGCTACTGTTCTAATTAATGCTCATATACAGACTATTAGATGTTTCTTTTCCCATTGTTACCTATACACCAAACTCTAAAACTATAGTTAATATTCCTACTTTGTACAGCGGACAATAGAAGTCATTATTTTTTTAATGTGTTTCAGGAAGATTTAGTTTGCTCAAATTGGTTTTCATCAGGTCCTTCTGGAATCGGTTACCACCACCAGCACAAACGGACGACGTTGAAGCTGTTTACTTTTTTATGTGCTAGATGGAGCCCTTGTAGTGTAGATAAAACCACATTCTTCCCCTTCATTTGTATGCTGTTGTTTTTCTTTACGAAGTCTTTTCTTCTTTCACAGACAGCCAAATAAGGACCATGCAAGTCGACGAAAACAGCGTTCCCTTCTATTTAGAGATAGAAATCATCCTACCGGTCGTCCTGTCTGCTGTAGTAGTACTCGCTGTATTAATCCTTGTCTGTTTGATCATGCGCAAAAGACAGTCTTCAGAAAGCTCTTATGGTGGTGAGATATTCTTCCGTGTTCTTTATGAATTTGTAAAAAAAAAAAAACATGAATTTTATGTTGGACACATGATCAGCTTGACGACCACGTTGTTACACTATGTAATTAGCATACTCGATGTTCAACACCACATTCTTACACAGTGTTTACTTTGTGATATATAAAATGATGACACTAACTAATGTTCAACATTATGACATAATAAGGTGTTTAAAAGATGACACTATATATGGTAAACATTATGACATAACAAGGTGTTTAAATGATGATACTATGTGATAAATATTATGGCATAAAAAGGTGATGTATGAAATGATGACACTAAATAATGGTAAACACTATGACATGGCTGGTGTTTAAATGATGGCTCTAAATGGTAAATACTATTATATGACTGGTGTTTAAATGATGGCTCTAGCTGGTAAACACTATGACATGACTAGGTATTTGAATGATGGCTTCAAATGGTAAACACTATGACATAACAAGGTGTTTAAATGATGACACTATATGGTAAACATTATGGCATAACAAGGTGTTTAAATGATGATACTATGTGGTAAACATTATGGCATAACAAGGTGTTTAAATGATGATACTATGTGGTAAACATTATGGCATAACAAGATGTTTAAATGATGACACTACTAGAAAACATTATAGCATAACAAGGTGTTTAAATGGTGGCCATAGTGTCATCATTTAAACACTTTGTTATGCCATAATGTTACCACATAGTGTCATCATTTAAACACCTAGTCATGTCATAGTGTTTACCAGTTAGATGGTAAACACTATGACATGACTAGGTGTTTAAATGATGACACTATGTGGTAACATTATGGCATAACAAGGTGTTTAAATGATGACACTATGTGGTAAACATTATGGCATAACAAGGTGTTTAAATGATGATACTATGTGATAAACATTATAGCATAACAATATGTTTAGATGATGACACTACTAGAAAACATTATAGCATGGCTAGGTGTTTAAAATTATGCATTTGCATCAAACATGTTACTGTGTTCAATATTCATATTATGTTCACGTGATGGTCATTCATGAAAAGCTTTCTTCATGTGGATCAAATACTGAAAGGTTTCTTTGTTATTAATATTATTATTTTATAGGTGTTCTCTAAGTTTATCAGTTATGGTCTTAATAAACTGAGTTGTAGAATTCTGTGAGAGTTTGTAGTGGAAATTAGTGTCGTCTATTTGGCGGTTAGCTTCAGTAATATAGTCATCTTTGACAGGATCCTACAACTCAGTTAATAACTGATCAACTTAAATAACTCCTCCAAAACAACAAAGCTTTCTTCATGTTCAGCGTGATGAGTGAAGATGGTGTTGAACATGATGACCAAGCACATAGTAAAATAAGTTAATGGTGTTCATCTAGTGTTTACCATGACATTTTAACATAATAGGGCAACATGATATAGTACAACATGGCCCTGCATGATGAGTAACATGATGGCTTTGTATATTGACTGCAAGGTTTTCGACGTGATGACTTTTTTTAATGGTCAACATAAAGGCATTATATAATGTGTAACAAAATTATCACATACGATGGTCAAAATTATGACTGCGTGATAATATTATAACTATACATGATGTTCAACATTATAACACTGTATGATAATATTATAACTATACATGATGTTCAACATTATAACACTGTATGATAATATTATAACTATACATGATGTTCAACATTATATCACTGTATGATAATATTATAACTATACATTATGTTCAACATTATATCACTGTATGATAATATTATAACTATACATGATGTTTAACATTATAATCACTGTATGATAATATTATAACTATACATTATGTTCAACATTATATCACTGTATGATAATATTATAACTATACATGATGTTTAACATTATATCACTGTATGATAATATTATAACTATACATGACGTTCAACATTATAACACTGTATGATAATATTATAATTATACATGATGTTCAACATTATAACACTGGATGATAATATTATAACTATACATTATGTTCAACATTATAACACTGCATGATAATATTATAACTATATATGATGTTCAACATTATAATACTGCATGATAATATTATAACTATACATTATGTTCAACAAAATGTTCATGGATAGTGATAATGATTAAAATCATGGATATTCAGTAATTTGATCAACATTACGATTCCGAATTAGGACCAACATTAAGGTATTTCATGACACTCAATAATTTAAGCCTGCAAGAGAATCAACATTAAGACCCTGCATGATGTCCGTGATTTAGAAATTTCTTGACGTTTGAAATTATTTCACCGCATGATGTTCAGCACGATATCCGTGCACGTGAAGTTTTAATATTATGAATGTAGTTGGTGTTTTTTGCCTGAAGAGGTCATTGTAACTCCAACTGCATTGTTCGAATTAGAAATTAATACAATTCAAATCAAGCTATAACTCGACAATTCCAATCTTTGTAGTGGCAAATTAATGCTTTGAATAGTGATTCAGGCTAGCTCGAGAGAGGAATACTGCTTTGCATATTTATATATTGGTATGATATTTAATTTCAAGAAACGCAATTCTTTTTCTCTTTGTTACGATCTCATCAAATAAAGCTTTTATGTGTGTTTCAGAATACGAAATGTGTCTGAATGACGTACTACCGTCCATGATACTACTTGCTTGATGTGATGGGTGGCGGGTGCTGTTAACGGATCGGTCTTCCTCTGTCAGCAATTTTCAGATAAAAACAATTAAATCTGAGGCTTGGGGTCTAAGACTTGAACGCCTCCTCGTGTTGCACAATGTGCCACTAAGGTTATCAAAAATCACCAGATGTCATTGTATCGAAGTCAAAATGTATTAATCACTTGAATTTCTCTTTACAGCACGAATGCATAATGGATTATATCCAAAGTCATGCAATGCAAATTCTTTCTATAAAAGTTAGGAATGCTTAATAGAAAGGATATGTTCTTTAAGCTATGTCACATCAAGCAAGTAGTATCATGGACGGTAGTACGTCATTCAGACACATTTCGTATTCTGAAACACACATAAATTGTTTCTATAAAAATTAGAATTGCTTAATAGAAAGGATATATTCTTTAAGCTATGTAAGTCCGTATACAGTAGTCCAGATTATAGAAATGTCTATTCTGTCCACGGTTTTTTTCTCCGTTTTCAAGAAAAATGCTTTTTTTTTTCAACGTAAGGGATAAAGTATTCTGCTTTAATGTGTTCGTTTCTAACAATTACAACTAAACATCGTTGTTCAAAGCCAAAACTTACATATACTGACACAATTTTGGATTGAAATGTTTTAAGTCTCTTTTGTGTAAAAGAATAACAACCAGTGATCGCAAAAAAAAAGCGTAATTATTAGTAAGTTAAAATGTCACACTGAGTCGGGCGTGGCCTAGTAGTTAGCTTGCCGGGCTGAAGGTCTTAGGTTTGAGTTGCAGTACGCTGCTAAATACGCTTCACACTTTCAGCTGTGGGTGCGTTATAAATGTGAAAGTCAAATATGCTATTCATTTAAGAGTAGCCGCGGAGACGGGGTTATCTTTTACATCATATTAAGCACATTTCAATGACAGTTGAACCGTTGCGGATAGAAATTCAGCACATTTCAATGACAGTTGAACCGTTGCGGATAGAAATTCAGCAAATTTCAATTAACAGTTGAACCGTTGCGGATAGAAGCTAGAAACCGGGTTTCGATATTCGTGGTGGGCAGAGCGCAGATAGCCCTTTGTGTAGCTTTGTGCTTAATAACAAACAAACAAACAATAGTATAATTCGAAGCATCTACTGAATTTCTATCCGCAACGGTTCAACTGTCATTGAAATTTGCTGAATTTCTATCCGCAACGGTTCAACTGTCATTGAAATGTGCTGTAATCCCTAATTTAGCAGTGAAAGACATCGCCACCCACCGCCAACTCTTGGGCTACTCTTTTTACCAAAGAATAGTGGGATTGACCGTCACATTATAACGCCCCCACGGCTGAAAGGGGCGAGTATGTTTGGTGGACCGGGAATTCGAACTCGCGACCCGCAGATTGCGAGTCGAGTTCCCTAACCACCTAGCCATGCCGGGCCAAAAACTGGTGATTAAATAACGAAATAAAAAAACAATACTTGTTCAGGATGATTACAGGATAATTGTTTAGAATAAACGGAAACCTCAGCGTAAACATTTCAGTCTAGAACGTTTTCAAACATACATACTGTCCACTTAGCTTCACGTATTGTTCATTGCGATTTGTATATATATATATGTATGTGTTGTTCAATTCCCATGAAATCTACCTCAAATGTTGGAATTTTCACCAATTCACGTAATTCACAAAATTCGTTATTATTGAATAAAATCATACATTATTCAGCCCCCCAGTGGTACAGTGGTATGTTTGCGGACTTATATTACCTCCTTGAAAATGCACCCAAAAAACAAAGAAGACGGAGTCGAAAACAATACAAGTACTTTATATAGCCAGCTAGAATATTGCATCAGATGTGTCATTTGAATTAAACATTGTCTTATATTAAAAGTGATTTAATGTGTTAGTTATAGATGTTGACGAAAGAAAGCAAAATATAAATACAATCGTTCAACAGTGTTTTATCACTAAAAACTGGTGAGTGTTTGTTTGTTTGTTTTGAATTTTCGCGCAAAGCTACACGAGGGCTATCTGCGCTAGCCGTACAAACAAACGTTATTGCATGTTGTTTTTTTATTGTAGGTATTGCTATTTTATTCATTAGATTCGATATATTTTCAAACTGATATTTTTTAACATATCTGGTATTCTATATTTCTAAAAGTTCTAACAAATGCATTCTGATAGTTGTGATCCTTATTCCGCAGGTAGTTCCACATACGGGTCCAGAAAAGTCCAACAACAACAACCCTCTCAGCAAGAGACAGTGCAGTTGTCCGATCTGGAAAAACTCTCTACGAAACGTCAGAGCGAGCGATTAGAAGCGGCTTATTATCCGTGTCCTTATGCCACGACTCGTCTGTCTCACGAGGATGATCCAGGTCAAGAGTCTGTAGGTGTTTTACCGTATAGGAAGAAGGAAAAACAAACAATAAAACCTAAATAATGACCCTTTTAAAATTACTAGCTTCCCCGTTTTTTCCTGTTTTTTTTTTTTGTTGTTGCTAATTGATTATTTACGAGAACACAAAATCTCTATAATATATACAATTCTCTAAAATTGAAAATATATATATATATATATATATTTTAGCAATAGAAAATAGACGCTAAGAAGTGGATGATAACGCACACAGTTAAGACGTAAAAAATGATGCATTGAGATAATACGTTTAGAATAAATCCCTGAGCATTCCATTCTTATCCTCTCTATGATAATTTTTGTGTAATTGTCTGACACGAATGTTTGACAGTTCTGATTTTTTAAACTGACTTTTAAGAAGCAATCTCTGACTCAAAGGCAGAAAATCTGATTATTTCAATAAGCAGTCTCTGACTCAACGGCAGAAAACATGACTATTTTGGAAGGTATGGGGGTATTCCTTCAGATCCAGAAACCCGAAAGCCGAGTGAGGTACATGGCTGTGTATGGCATGATCCATGGATCACTTTGTCATGCTATTTTCTTTGATTTGAATAGCCGTTAAGGTGTTTCTATCCCATTAAAGTTCACCACCCGCATGCTATAGTTATGCAATTTGTTACATTCGAGTAGCCGTTAAGGTGTTTTTATCCCACTAAAATTAACCACCCGCACGCTATGGTCTTGCTATTCCGCCATTATTTTAGTGTTGCTTTCTCCTAGCCCCTCAATGGCACAGCGGCATGTTTGTGGAATTACAACGCTAGAAACCGGGGTTTGATACCGGGTTCTTGTGCTTAACTTCAACTAAACAAATCCTTTCTCCTCCTGTCCTTTTAATGATCTAGCAGTTCACTCAGAAAAATTCTTTGTAATTCACTTTCCTTATCTGATCTTGAATCGTTTTCCTCCTTCGGCTCTCATTCCCATTTGAGGGCAAGTCGTTGGATACACCCGTAAAATTGCCGCTCCTGTTCGCAGACATACTTCTCTATGAGTACTTGACAGCACCTCCTCCGCCGAAGTTTATGTGACCTCTTTTACGGCTAACTTTTTGGGCAACTGGTGTTCCATCGTGATCGCATTAACACCTGCTACATTTGTAACACCTTGGACATTTTGCTACTTTACATTTGCAGATTAGCTTTGAATCCGATTTTGTTTCCATCTCGACAATAACGAACATTCAGAGGTTCTAGCCCGTCTTATCAGTTCCTCGCAGGTTTCACAAAATGTTCGTACATGGTGAGTGTTACACAGATAATTCACTACAACAACGCCACGACCATTGTTTGAATTAGGATGAAAAAAAATCACCCAACTCTACTGACAAAAATCCAATCATAACTTTTTCGAATGTTGTCCAATAATAGATCGGAATACACTTCTGGACCCCTCATAAAGTAATTCATATTTCTATAGATTTAAAAGAAAGAAAAAAAACTAAATGCCGGATATGGTTTTTACAAAATGCATTACCATTTCTACTGCCGTTGAGTCGGAGATTGCGTGTTTAGTAATATTATATATGACAATATAAGATGATCAATTTGTGTAAAAACGAAGATGTCCTTAAATCGAAATTACTGTAATTAACACATCAAGTGTACTTAGTCGAAAGGTAGCTGGTTTTATTTAACTGCGGATAATTATTTACATACATAATAGTGTGAAATCAAACAGACTCCATAGAATCGCCATTACATCAAGTCAACATTTAAACAGTCTAGACTCAACTCCAAGGAATCACTAATACAACAGATGAAAATTTTAAACAGACAAAACTGAACCCCATGGCGCTGCTTTTAAAACAAATAAGCGTTTTAAACAGACTAGACTAGCCCCATAGAACCACTAATATAACGAATGAACATTTTAAACACACTAGACTAACCCAATGGAATTACTAATAATATAACAAATGACCATTTTAAACACACTAGACTAACTCCATAGAACCATTAATATAACGAATGAACATTTTAAACACACTAGACTAACCCAATGGAATTACTAATAATGTAACAAATGACCATTTTAAACAGGCTAGACTAACCCCATGGAACCACTAATATAACGAATGAACATTTTAAACACACTAGACTAACCCAATGGAATTACTAATAATGTAACAAATGACCATTTTAAACAGGCTAGACTAACTCCATAGAACCATTAATATAACGAATGAACATTTTAAACACACTAGACTAACCCAATGGAATTACTAATAATATAACAAATGACCATTTTAAACAGGCTAGACTAACCCCATGGAACCACTAATATAACAAATGACCATTTTAAACAGGCTAGACTAACCCCATGGAACCATTAATATAACAAATGACCATTTTAAACAGACAAAACTCAATTCCATGGAACCACTAATATAACAAATGAGCATTTTAAACAAACGAGACTAGAATCAACTCCATGGAACCATTAATACAGCAAATCAACATTTAAACAGCCTAGACTCAACTCCATGGAACCATTAATACAGCAAATCAACATTTAAACAGCCTAGACTCAACTCAATGGAACCACTAACACAACATTTTAAACAGTCCAGACTCCATAAAACCACTAATACAATAAATGAACATTTTAAACAGACTAGAATCAGTTTCATGGAACCACTAGCTCAGTAATTTAGTATTTTAAACAGACTCTAAACTCAAATCCATGGGGCCACTCGTACAGCAGATTGATATCTTAAAAGCTAAGGTTTCGTCATAAAAAAACCAGCATAATATTGAAAAAACAATAGATTTAAAATTATTATAAAAACAATTTGTTTTGTTTGTTTCAGATTTAAGTTATCCATCGTGACTTGAAACTAGTATGTAAAAACTGGTATTTCAGGTGTATCGTTTGCCTCCCACAAGTCACTGCCCAATAAGCTTTTCGTTCAATACCACAACTCATTAGTTGGGCTATATGATGAGAGGAAAAATATTTTCTGATACTCTATTTATATAAGCAGTATAATACTTTAAAAGTTACGGTTTAAACGTGAGAAGCCGGCAAAATATTGGAAATCAATGGGCCTAAAATTGTTATGTTATTGTTTATTCCCCATATGTCTCTTTAATTTGTCCATTGCGATTAGAAAACAGAGGTTTATAAAAATATCATTTTGTATCTCATCTCACACTTAACTATTGAATTCTGATATTGAACAAAAAGCGTATTGGGCAAAGACTTGTGGAAGACAAAAGATAGATCTGAATTGATAATTTTTACAAACCTCTGATTTCGAGTAGCGACGAATAAATTAAGAGAGATGTGTAAAAAACATCTGTATTTAACTTATTTTTAAGAAAAGTTAGCATTTTAGACACACGAGACTCATCCTGTGGAGTCACTAGTACAACAAATCAACATCTTGATTAGACTCAAAACTTCCACCCACTTCTCAGAATGTTTACATTATATCATAAAACTTTCGTCCAATTCTTCTCTAAAAGTTAAACAGTTATTAACTTAAGACTTCCACCTGTTTCTTCTCTAAAAGTTAATCGTTTTAACATATTACTTTCACCTGCTTCTTCTCTAAAAGTTAGTTGTTATAGCATAATATTTTCTTATATTTCTTCTCTAAAAATTAATCGTTATGAAATAATAATTTATTCCGTTAGTTTCAACATACAGTAATTGTGTATGTAATTTTGAAGGACTGGAAACTTTAATAATATTTTCATAGTTTTTATGTACAAGTACTAGTTACGTATCACTTAATAGCAGAATGATAATACCAGATAAAAATATTTCCCAATTGAAAATTTCGCGACTATAATTATTTGTGGCGTACCAACCATATCTGTGGCGTACTCTCGTTATTTGTAACGTACTCTCGAAATTTACGATTTCTGAAAGAGATGCAACTTCCACATCTTTAGTGCTGATATTAAATATATAAAAATATTGTGAGGATAAGAGGAATTTTGAATGTATTCAGTCTTAAGGAACAATTCATATTTAGTGATAAAACATCCTACTTGGATAACTGAACGAGTGACAACAAGTGTGTATTGAATTTTACTTTATAAAGCTGGTCAATTTTCTATCTTAAAGATATCTGCGACATGTAACAAAGTCCAGTTCCTACTCTGATTCGAACCTTTATATATTAGACACGTAGAAATCTGGTCTCCAGTCCTTTTTTAATTAATTGTCTGTTATATTATGTATTACCAATTAAATCGGACTTTTTTTCTATTTTTATACTGCTACCAGAATATCAATATTTTTTTCTGGGTACCAACAGATGCAGGACGAGCCACAATACGCCACCGTGAAGAGAACCCCAAGGCCACCAAAACCAGAATCCCACATATATCATTACCCAGGTAAAGCTTGACTGTTTGCTTTAGCGCAAAGTTATACAATGAGCTAAATGCGCTGTGTCCGCCACTGGGATTGAAACCTAAATTTAACATCTGAAGCTTACTACTAAGCTGCCTGAAGATCGTTTACTTTTGTTATTGTCTGTCATAAATATTCCATTAAACTATGGTTACGGTAAGGCAGATTATCAGTGTATAGAAAATGACTACAACTTGTCTGCCTTAATCTGTGTTTACATAAAGAGTAATCAGAAATGTAAACGACCTCACAAAGTCATATACACAAAAACACACTGTGAAAACAAAACAGAAAAAAAGGTCATACACTGACTGGCCCCTTTAGGTGAATGCTCACCTGTATAAAGTCGGACTATTTTTCGCGTTAACAGGCTGTACTAGGCGTGGTTTAGACTTCACAAGATGTTACAGGTTTCTTGTTCGATTGCATGCCTTTCATACAGAAGTTTGGTCTGCAGTTGGTTAATATACGTTGACGAAGGATTAACTGTGACAAATTCGATGTTTATTTTATTCTCAAAAATTCTCAAACACATTCAGGTCCTTGTGCGTGTTTGTTTGTTTTTTTTAATTTCGCGCAAAGCTACACGAGGGCTATGTTTGGTGGGACGGGGATTCGAACCCGCAGATTGCGAGTCGAGTTCCCTGACTACCTGGCCATGCCGGCCCGCATTTAGGTCCTGTAATTATGTTGACCAAATTAACTTAGCACAAGGGCTGTTACATTATCGTCGTGGGGGTTCCTTTGTACATTAGGATGGAAATATATCAGTGTGGGGTGAACTGGGCTGACAAAATACTTCAATACGATCTTCTCTTCCAAAGGAAACAAAGGTCGGAACTCGTGCTATGAAAACGTTCTCAACATTATTACATCCCTTCCAGCAGGTGGCGCTGTTGGAATAATTTTGTTTATTTGTTTGTTTGTTTTTAATTATGCACAAAGCTACATAAGGGCTATCTGTGCTCTGCCCACCACGGGTATCGAAACCCGGATTCTAGCGTTGTAACTCCGCAGACATAGCGCTGTGCCACTGGGAGGCTTGGAATAATACAAGGGATTCCTGTCTACTGCGAGTTTCTTCATATTTGCATTCTGCCATTAACGCAGAACGGATCAAATTCCGGCTCGACACTCAATTCCAATTACTCATTGTCCCTTCCTCTAAGTATCACTCTAAGTACCATATTTGAAGTTTCCACTAGAGTTATGGCTTACGTGCTATATAGAAACAAAAAATGATGTAATCAAATATACATATTGTCAATTTTTTACACGTTGAGTTTATCAAACACATTAGTTATCACATTTTGTTGTTGTTGTTATAAAGAAATACGATATACAAAAGAAAAGTTGAAATTGAATGCCTATCCTAAAATCTTGACTCTTGAGTGCCTTAATGATATCTGGACAAAGTCCCCAATTGCAAAAGTGTATTAAATCAAAACTAATTATTACAATCGTATTACCGTGGCTAGGACAACCTATACTGCAAACTAATAAAAAACTTTAATAAGTTTTTTTTTAGATTATTACCTTCAAATACGGCTATGAACAGAGTTTAAATCTCACATTTATAAAGAGAACTTTTACACAATAAAATATCTTAAACCAAAGCTTCAAACTTCTCGGACGGTTTATGAATATTAACATATATATAATATAATTATATGTCACATATAATTTGAGTTATATGAATGGCAACAAACGCCTTTTATCGACGAAATAAAAAATCATTGTGGAAACTCTTCCCAGAATCATTTTAAAATTCAGCATATTTGTCATTGTGCGTAGCCACTGCAATACTGTAAGTTTAACGTTACTACAAACCTTATGGGCGTTATCCTTTCACGTAGCCCCCCCCCTCAGCGGCACAGCGGTATGTCTGCGGACTTACAACGCTAGAAACCGGGTTTCGATACCCGTGGTGGGCAGAGCACAGATAGCCCATTGTGTAGCTTTGTGCTTAATTCCAAAGAAACCAAATCTTTCACGTAAAGAAAACCATCGTCATCAAACAACGACAGCCGAAGTTAATTCCAGAAGTTTCTGAAATATTAAAATATTTTAATATTCTTGATAAAGTAATTGAATTATTCATATCCTGAAGGAACTGGCCAACTGGGACACAGTCTATCATCTGTTGCACTTTACAAACCTGTCCAATCGCGTGTTTGTTTGTTTTTTCCATGATTAACCGCCAGCGGTTCTAGCACCACAGGTTCTTCTAAAGACAGATATATTGCTTTTTAATTACTACTGTTAATAGATTTTAATAACAGCTCTTTTTGAATAATCAATCACAGAAACTGCCTTTGATTACGACGTTCCTGCTAAAACGGAACTAACAATAATGTTCCTTTGAAAGTCTGATACATCCTTGCTCTTACCTATTCTCTTGATATAAAAAAGAGCTATAAAACCATAAAATGTCTGAATCTTAGCTCTTGTGCTGCTCAATAATCACCTGACAAATCTCTTAATTAGTCTATTTTGCATATGCAAATAAATAAAGCACTCTACAAATGAACATAGGGGAGGATCCTAATAAAGTGACCAGAATGTATATATTTAACAGTAGAAATCAGAAAAAGATTTTACCCAAAACAAAACTATTGTAGAGGTTTTGCATTTACGGCGTCATTTCAGTAAAAGAAAATTTTAGGTTACTGAAATGTACATTAACAAATACGATGATATTATAAACAAAAATTGAAAATAGAATTTAGATGTTTAACTATTATGTATATCTAGTAAAAACCTAAAACTATGAAATATAGTACCATATATGTATTACGACCTTTTAGAAGTACCGAAAGTAATGTAAAAATGAAAAAAAGATAAAGTATAAATTAACACTAGTAATCACCTTCTAACTCCAAACACCGAGTTATTCCTAGGTTGAGCACGTTTTCTAAAACGATTTTGGAGCCTCACCGCGTCGTTACAATCCATGTCGCCACGTCCAGCCATCCTCTGTTGTCAACAGTTTTCATTTCATAAGGCTCCGTCATAACACTGTCATATCCAAAGCACACCCCTAATCCCTATACTTTCCATAATCTACGTAGTGTAGAAGGACGACGATTTTCCAGCAGTAGTTTTAACAGTCCGATAAGAGAAATCCATATGTGCTGTGTTCGGCGACTGGTATATCTTCTTATGGAATAGCATAAATACCAATTTCATTCTCTAGCTACTTGAGGTTTGCGACGGGGATGTCATGGAAGCAGCTTGTGTACACGTCACTTGTGGCGTTTTTCCAATCGAAGGTCCTTCTTGATTATGTTGCATGCTGTTGCCTGAGACACGTGAACGTCTTTTGCCACTCATTCTTGTGTTTGTTGGAGTACGACTTGTTATACTTGTCTTTCCTGATGGTGGTGGCGCCACAAATTCGTCCATATTTCTTTGTTTTTCAATGTCATTAAGTATAAGGGATACCCCGTCTTGGAAATCTTAACTCCACGTTCTAAACACATACTTATGATCTGATTGTATGAATATTTTGAGTTACATACCTTCCCATAAGAGAGTAATTGGTTTATTTTGAATTTCTCGAAAACTACACGAATGCTATCTGCGCTAGCCGTCTCTAATTTAGCAGTGATAGACTAGAGGGAAGGCCCGGCATGGCCAGGTGGTTAGGGCGCTCGACTAGGTCGCGGGTTCGAATCTCCGTCACACCAAACATGCCAACCTCCGCCTTTGCCTGGTCCCAAGTCCAGGATGAGAAAGAAGGAGGGTTGGGCGCGGGGCTAGCAACTCCACCCCGTAAAAAACAACCTGCTACAAATAACTGCAACAACAACTTTCCGTTGATGAGGTGTTGTTACGGCCCTATGCTCCACTGGGAGTTTACAGGAATAATAAAAAAAAAAGACTGGAGGAAAGGCAGTTAGTCAACACCACCAACTGCCAACTCTCTAGCTAATCTTTTACTAACGAATAATGGGATTGGCCGTCACATAGTAACGCCCGCTAAAGGGGCGAGCATGTTTGGTGTGACGGGGATTCGAACCCGTTACCCGTAGATTGCGAGTCGAGTGCCCTGACCATCAGATCATGCCAGACCAATCGAGTAATTTTCGGTAACATCAGACTGCTTACGTAACGCCAGATAATTTCAAAACGTGATTCTGATAATTCCACCGCGAATTTATATTGGCTGTTTTGGTCACGTGATTAGCTGATTTGCATATTCAAAATATTTTTACTATAACGTTCTCAACCTTCGTTTTAGTAATAGATCTCACTAAAGAATAACCTTCGTATATATTTTCAATGGTTTTAATTGTGTAAATTAATTCGGGATCACAGTAATGTTTGCTATTTAAGATGTCTCCTTATTTAAAGATTGTTAAGTAAGACTATTAATTTACTCATGTGAAATTCCATGTTCTTATATATATGTATATATAAAGATTACAGGTATATTTCCCATTTTATTCAGTTCGTCCATGTAAAGAGTACATAGGAGAGGCTCACCACAGGGACCCTCTGGTGGTGAAAATAGAAACTTCAGAATCAGATGGAACAGGTTGGTACAATTGAATAATTAAAAGGTAATAAAAATTTAATTACATGCATATGAACAGGTTTCAAAGTAAACATTTCAAAATATGCTTAGTTAAACATTATAAAACTCTATGTCATAAAAACGATCTGTTATCTTTAGTTTTAAACTCAGTATCTTAAAACGCATTTTAAAATTCATTTGTTCGTAAACGCAAAGCTACACAATGGGCTGTGTGCGCTCTGCCCACCACGGGTCTCGAAACCCGGTTTCTAGCGTTGTAAGTCCGCAGAAATACCGCTGTGCCACTGCGGGGGGGGGGGGCTTTAAAATATTCATGACCAACCTCTTCATGAAACGACGAGGTGACGAGTCAGGTCTTACAAAAAACTTTGTGAAATGTAAGATCAAAACATTTCTTGAATAAGTTAAAATTTATTCAAACCTGGTAACAAAATATGTGAACCTGATATCATCCAGTCACAACCTTCTGTGATGTAGGCTATGAGCCATTTGATTGGATTATATATATATATAATGACTGCCGAAATGTAAAGTTTGTGGTCAGTATTTTTAAGTTATTTTTTCTCTTTATCTTATTCACACGAGACAGACAACTTAACTTGCTGGAATGTGTTATACTGTTCTGAAAACGCCGTTTTGAACCTAATATTTGAGAATATATGTATAATGTCCCCCAAAATGATTCATCCACAACTTTTATCAGTCTTAAGTAAAGAAAAAAAATTGTATTGAGTTCCTTACTTTTTTGTTTTTACTGAGAAACGTGTTGAAAGTCTTCAGTTTCAACGTTCTTTCTAATGGGTGATTTGCTGAATTTGTCTATTATCTCTGCAACCAAAAACTAAAACAATTATTAATTTAAAACATTCGACTACTTAATCCTTTAATTCTATAATATAATGTATAAAAATACATATAATTAATTATATATGTATATTCTTCAGGAAGAAGAGGATAATGTTTGACGTCCCTCTAGTGACAGACAACAGAAGCTAGCTTAATATATAACATATTGTACATAATTATTGTTATGGTCTGATGCGAGAGTGTCGTTTTTACTGTTTCCATGTTATATGTGTCCCATAGGCTGTGTTGCTTATAAATAAATCATACAATTCTAAAAGTATCTTCCTTTTCTTGTTTGAGCTAAGCAGTCATTTTTATAACACTAACTACGTGTGAGTATCTGTATATACTTGAGATCAAAATAAATGCACTTATTTATTTCACGGATGGAGTTTACGTGTTTCTCTCTTTTTCTATTAATTATTAAATATAACCAGCTGGGTTAACTCAGTCGAAACGTTCGATTAACATGTGTTAAACATTAATTTTTCACTTGACTGTTATGCTTATAAAATATATCCTCTCTCTCTCTCACACACTATTATTTTAAATCATAAGACGAACATTTAGGATTAAAAATGGATAGTTTAGTGTTGGGCTATTACGGAAAATGTAAACTATTCATCTTATTCTTATCAATAAAAGATAACTGCTATACAGGCAGTTACCATGGCAATATAGTTTTATGAACTATCATCCAGTTGTTTTTTTTTTAGCACGTTACTTCATTATTTGTTCTAACTAAACGGTGTGATAAGGTCCAAGATGATGACCACTTTAAAGACGACCTTAATTAACTCTGTTGTTTTGTGACGAAGTTCTAAAGAAGCTGTCGATCGGATTTCTTAGCTTTAGAAAAGTCAAAATTAAATAACTTGATGAAACTATATGTCATTAAAATCTGTCCTGTTTCTTTTAATTCGGTCTGTGTCTCTGGGTAAAAAAAAAATCGGACAACTTGGACTGTATCAAATAATGGTATTTATTTATTTAATTGGCACACACCGTGAAAATAGTTTTTAAATATTTAAAATCTCAAAGTCTAAAATATACTTGAGGAAAATAATTTGCTTTAAACTCACAATCACAGTTGTATGTTTTAGGCCTATTTTAAAGGCTTTGAATAATTCTTCTTTATTTAGATATAATGGTCTAAGTGAATATGTTTGGATAATAGTGTTCAATTTCCTTGTTTGAAGAACAGTTTAATATTATACATTTCTGTATTTCCTTCATAATTTTGATATTATGATCTAAATGATTGTAACAGTACACATTAAATAGTCTCGAGTAATAATATTTTTAATTATAATTTTCTTTGTTTAGATACTGTTGCTGTAATAATGCGTATTAGATAATGTTTTGTTCTTTGTTTTGTATACTACATTGTCTTTTAACTGATAACCTCTATATTTATATATTGTTACCACTAAATCACATTAAAAGAAAAGATAAAAAACCAGAGCTTCCAACAGGTCCACCTATCTTCATCACGGGCAAAAACTTTCGTCAACAAAACACTACTTTTATTTATTTTTTTAGTTTGATTTATCAACTTGATATCAACGAAGATTTTAAGATCCTCTTATAAATAGTATCTACAAATATAAACGGGAGACCAAAATAATTTGTCAAGCGCTTGAGATCATTCTTTTTTTCCAAAACAAACTGGACTTTACTCTCGGATTATCCATCCGTGTTCTTTAATTCTTTCTAAACATTTGAGTAGTTTTAATTGTTTTTTATCAAGGACTTTATTTTCTTAATTTTATAATTTTTCGTAAGTATACTAAAACAACTTGATCAGCGGAATGATTTCATCTCCTCCCTAAGAAATAAAGAAATATTTAATTAAATATTTTTTACTCTCACAGTGATCCAATATTTATATAGGCGTTTCAAGATTTTACATAAATTAAGATTCCATTAATTATTCATTCTGGTTTCTCTAAGAAAATTTTCAATATTCAAAGTTCTTTGGCATAATCAAGTTTTTAACAATAGCATCCTCATAACAAATCAAAGTTCTTCGGTATAATCAAGTTTTTAACAATAGCATCCTCATAACAAATCAAAGTTGTTTGGTATAATCAAGTTTTTAACAATAGCATCCTCATAACAAATCAAGGTTGTTTGGTATAATCAAGTTTTTAACAATAGCATCCTCATAACAAATCAAAGTTGTTTGGTATAATTAAGTTTTTAACAATAGCATCCTCATAACAAATCAAAGTTGTTTGGTATAATCAAGTTTTTAACAATAGCATCCTCATAACAAATCAAAGTTGTTTGGTATAATCAAGTTTTTAACAATAGCATCCTCATAACAAATCAAAGTTCTTCGGTATAATCAAGTTTTTAACAATAGCATCCTCATAATAAATCAAAGTTCTTCGGTATAATCAAGTTTTTAACAATAGCATCCTCATAATAAATCAAAGTTCTTCGGTATAATCAAGTTTTTAACAATAGCATCCTCATAATAAATCAAAGTGCTTCGGTATAATCAAGTTTTTAACAATAGCATCCTCATAATAAATCAAAGTTCTTTGGTAGAATCAAGTTTTTAACAATAGCATCCTCATAATAAATCAAAGTTCTTCGGTATAATCAAGTTTTTAACAATAGCATCCTCATAACAAAGATGCAAAATGGATAAAGTAGCATCTTTCCAAATTAGAATGAGAAAACAATTATCTTTGTCAAAAATGTGATTTGAAATTTGAGAGAAAAACATATTTTTCAATTAATTTCAAACCATTTAATCAGATTGCTTTGAAATAAAACATTATTTTTGTAAAATCACTTATATAAAACAATGAAAGGACAATATTTAACATTAAATATTAAGCGAAGAAGTCAATAAATGAAATAAGACTTCGAGACTTGAACCTAAGACCTCAACTACTGCTAGACAGCCCAGTGATAGAGCATTGGCCCTGTTAGTCTTTCATCATTAAAAAACAGAATAACTTGGTAAATGATCTTATAGTAGTTAAAAAGCACGTATCTTATACTCTTGAATAACTCAATGATAAAGGGCTGGCATTCTCCGCCAATGATCTGGTTTAAACTTCCAGTCCAGGAGTCTATTTTCACTTAAAATTTACTATTGCTTAGTATACAAATATAAGATTAAATAACTACAAGCTACAAACAACGTATGAAGTGTGTGTGGATGACCTCCTTAAATTAAGAGTATGATTTAGAAAGTCACCCTAGATCTGTAAACATAACTTTCAAAACCTAAAAATCTAAATAAAAGTTTATTAAACGGGAAGCCATCAAGATAGTAGCTACCTTGGGATTTCGTCACCTTCATCTGAAGATAATCTGCTAACATTTCAAAACTACAATGTCGACATTTAACTGAAATCAATCGATATATCCTAAGTTCCTACTTTTATCAAAAAATTTGGTTAGGATTTTTAGTTGGTCCATTCTCTGAGTTTCGGAAATATCACAGCATAGGTTGGTAAATGTTATCAAAATTAGTAGAGCAATAATTTTCAAGCTCATTGTGCCACACCATTTAATGAAGATAGTCTGTTAACTGAAACTATTTGGGGGGATAATAGGTATTGCAGTATTAAGTTGTATTAAATCTTAAGTACGATATAACCTAATATACCACAAAAGTGAATATGAAATACAATAAAGAGAAAAGGTTATTGCGTATTCTGTATTTGAATAGCTCTACACTTATATATTAGAAACCCGTAACAGAAAAAAATGATGTTGATAGACATATATATATCATATATCGTTTTTATCTTTTTTACAGAATATTTTGATACTCTAGTGTATACGTCAAGTTGCAAACAAAACACAGTATTGCGATATTCTAGTGTATACGTAAAGTTGGAAACTAAACAAAGTATTTCGATATTCTGGTGTATACAACGAGTTGCAAACAAAACACAGTATTTCGATATTCTGGTGTATACGACGAGTTGGAAACTAAACAAAGTATTTCGATATTCTGGTGTATACGACGAGTTGCAAACAAAACACAGTATTTTCATATTCTGGTGTATACGATATTTGGAAACAAAACAGAGTATTTTGATATTCTGGTGTATACGTCAAGTTGGAAACAAAACAAAGTATTTTCATATTCTGGTGTATACGTCAAGTTGTAAACAAAACAAAGTATTTTGGTATTCTGGTGTATACGTCAAGTTGGAAACAAAACAAAGTATTTTGGTATTCTGGTGTATACGACGAGTTGTAAACAAAACAAAGTATTTTGGTATTCTGGTGTATACGATTACTTGGAAACAAAACAAAGTATTTTGGCATTCTGGTGTATACGACGAGTTAGAAACAAATCAATTTTGACAACATACCTCAGGAAGAAACTCGTCAAAGTTTAGGAAAGAAATTCAAAGATTTATTTGTCGTTGACATCAAATTCACTCGACATTACACAATAACCAGATATCAATGAATGACATTTGGAAATCCAAGAGGGACGAGGTCGTCGAACCTGATATGAATTTAGTAAAGAAGACATGAAGCTGCAATTTTTCTAACAGATAACTAAATTGCAGCAAATGGTTTAAGATGTCCAATTTAAAATCTAATAGACTGTTTGTTCATTATTAAGACATACATCTGCACAAGTAGTTATCTATGCTCTGCCCACGGCGAGTATCGAAACCCGGTTTTTAGCATTATAATCCCTCGGATTTATCTGTGAAATTCATCTACATCAAGATTCGTGTAACAAGTTTGATACGAAATATTGCTTACTGGAGTAAAAACAAACGTGTCAATATTTGGCCGAACGAGACGCAGTGGTCACAGTGTCGGACTGTAGAGCTAAGTTCCGTGGTTCGAGTTCCGTTACTGCCACAAAAAATTGCTATCCGCCCTTTGGGGCATTGGATAAGTTACAAGAGCGATGGGCAATCACACTATTCGGTATGACAAGAATAGCCCAAAAGTTGGCGGTGGATGTTGTTGACTGACAAGCTGCCGTCTCTACAGTCAACAAACAAATGAATAAATTGCCAAGAGTTAGTTTCCCTCATAATGAAAACTCAACTTTGAATAGTAATCATTTCACGGAGTCTGTCTCTTTATGTGTGTGTGCGCGCGTGTGTGTACTATGATTTGTTCTTTCCACTGTGTGTGTGTGTACTATGATTTGTTCTTTCCACTGTGTGTGTCGTACTATGATTTGTTCTTTCCACTGTGTGTGTGTG